GGGGCAGCGTGCCAGAGCGAGGGACGGAAGCGAGAGAGATGGGGGGAAGAGAAAGAGGGGCGAGAGAGAGAGAGAGAGGGAGGGAGGGGGAAAGCAGCGAGAGAACGAGCAGGAGAGATTGGGGGAGAAAGAGAGAGAGAGAGAGAGAGAGTGGAAATGAGATAGAAGTTGGTAGAAGCGAAGGAGAAGTCGCTGGCGAGAAAGGGAGAGAAAGATAGAGCGAGGGAGGGTTAGGTATGAGAGGGAGGGGAGAAAGGGAGATCAGGAAAAGGGACGAAGAGAGCTGCCGGTGGAAGGGGTGGATGAGGAGGAGGAGGTGACGGTGGTGGAGAGAGGGGTAGATTTGACCCTGCTTGTGCACCTGGATAGGAGGCTGTAATCAATACCACAGAAAGCGCGCGCTGCGCCAGGCTCACCCCTTATCCGTCCACCTACCGATACCTGAATAAACGGCAGCGCACGCAGAGTAACCCCACGTTAACTTGCGATTTTGTTTTCGGTGGAACAGCAAATATATGTTGTCCAACGTACAATGACCTCCGTTTTTCCTGATCTGTGTGACGTAGGGCCATCTGACACTACACTTTTTCTTCTTTATATAAGACAGGTCAGGGAGTGCAAGGCAGCAGATGCACTTTATTTTCTTCTTGTTGTTATGCCGTGTATTTGTAATTGTTCCATTTTAATATTTTTTTACCGAAGTATGAAGAATCGATCAAGTGAATTGAAAAATAGAGACTTCTTGTGTGTATTTCGTGGAAACTCATGGAAAGTATGAAATAAATTATAATTTATATAGTATTCGCAAAGTTGTAAAACTGTGGACAGTAGGTAATTGACACTGCTTCGTTTATCTCGTATATAAGACAATCACTATATTTATCCGTTTGTTAAATCCGCTTGCTTATTTACTTGCTTTCATTATATGCTTCGCTGAAACAGATTGCGTAATTTTCTTGTTGATGAATCTGTAATCCGTGATTATGCGCCATAATTATTCCACGTTATAAGATTCTTTCATTAACTTGAAACCGACTTTTTTTTTTAAAGAAAATTCTAATTGCATAGCATCTTCCTTCTCAATTTTTCAGTATCCGATATTAAATAACCCAGTAACTAAACTGTAAATTAAAATCCATTTTAATTAAAATCCACTTAGAATAGTCGAAGTCGAAGAAGGTTTTGTTATCCATTCACCGTTCTGAAATCTAAATCGCAAAATATTCTCCAGTTTTATTCGTTTGTCACGTAATAATTGGTATTCTTATTTATTTTTTGTAAAAAAAGAGCGTATACCCATCGATTAAACGACTCTCCCCCCCCCCTCCCCAAGATCTGACATGGCGGATTTTATGCAAGTGATATAAGCAAGCTCATAGAATAATCGCTCAGAATTTCCTAGCGGGGCGTTGGTCGTTACATTTGTATATGCTGCACACGCGCCACATTCCTGCAAGTTTGTCGCAATGCATCTTCATTGCTACTTTTCATAGCGAGATGCTGTCTGAATGTGGAATCGCGGTTGTCTCGAAGAGACGTATTTCGGTGTCGCGACATCTGGTGAAGTACGATCATTTATTTTAATGGCTTTCCTCTCCGCAGTCAAATCCGGGATACGAAATTTTAACACGAAACATTTTTCAGCTTTTTCTCACGAGAAAAGTATATTTTTATATAGACGTTACAAAATCTAGACTTTGATGTCTCATTACCTTTATGCGAGTGCCATTAAATTAAAAAAAGAACCTTTACGAGGGGAACGAAAAAACATTCAAAGAGATTAGCAGTTTGTTGAAAGATAAAAAACGAGGGCAAGCGCAAAAATATTTCGGCGCAAAATTTCGAAAATACTTGAGATTCTGAATACGTAAAGCGGAACACCTCGACCCGAATTTTCTACGTTACGTATTTAAGGGACGAAGTTTTCGCAACACAGCATTGATAGCAGTACGAACGCGCGATAGCGCGCTATACACACGTGCGACTACGACAAATTAGCGGTCCCGGAATAAATTGAAAGGTTTAGCGGTACTCGACGGAACACAGCGGAATAGGTAATCGTCTGAGATCAGCTTAGGCCAAACCGCAGGTGGTCTAATTGCGAGGGAGCTTTCCCTTCGGTAATCGTGCGATGGGGATGTCATATTACACGTGTAGAGATAATGCATCGTCCATGCAAATTCGTATCTTGCGTGTCTAACGTTTATCCCTCATCGGTGTCATTCTCCCTCGCGCGTCGAGTGTGTAGCCGGCGGTGGTCAGGATCCCATGTCGTTGATTTTAATTACACTATCATTACCGACGTCTGACTATTCACTGTGCCTGCCATTCTCTCGCACAGGGATTGAGTGAGCCATATTATATAATCGTTACAATCCTAAACTATCGGTACATATGCATAGATGCGTACTCTCTAAAAGTGAATCGGTGGATTATCACTGAAAACGGTGAATAGTCACTGATTTGCAGTTATAAGTATACCACTGAAAATCGCGTGAGTGAACTGATAAATTTTTAGAGAGTACTTTCAAGTCAACTCGATCAACATCAATTAGAAATACAAAGTCGAATCTGGAATCTTATTTTTTTTATTCCTCTCATTATTTCCCGCGTTTATTTTCGATCGGCTGTGAAGTTTTAATAAAGCATCGATGACGATGACACGAATTGCAAGGGAAAATATAAAATCTTTCGTCGATGGAAAATCAATTTTTACCTTCCCTCGTATTTACGACAGGAAACTAATTCTCTGTACTGTAGGAATTATCGATTATAATTTTAATATCAACGCGTCATGCGTGACATAAGATTACGTCTGACGTACACTGGCATAAAAAAAGATTTATAGCGTACTTACATTGTGTGGGGCGAGATGAATTTGCTGCGATGTCGGGTGCAACACCAGTGCGATTTACTGTCGATAATTTATTTCTGATTATAGATACAATATACATCGTAGGCTAGACGAAACACTTATTAGGTATATTAGCCTATCTATAAATGGTACGATGTGAACGCAACACAACGAGTTAGGAATGTAAAACGGATGGAAACTTATTACACCGCCGCGTACAACGCGACGTGTTCGAGGAAACACAAGTTCGATCGATGAATGCGAGGATGATCTCTTTTATAGTTTTCTCGTATCCCGCGTTAATAGAGGGACGCCCGCGCGCTCGAGCGAATACGTTCTGCGTGTTGTCTGTCTTCTGTCTGTTGTCTGCGTATGCGTGTGTGAGTAGGTGGGGGTGTGTGTGTGTACGCGTGGGTGTAAACGGCACCGTTTTCTTTTCATTGAACATCATTGTCGCGACACATTTTTATCACTCTTGTCTTATTTAATTCAATTAGCTACTCTCGCACGAGTGGAGAGCGCGATCGAAGTAATTCGATAATATTTACACGGCCACTTACTAGTAACGTCCAACACGGAACTGGCAGTGTTCCGATATGCGGTGCTCGATCCGATCTGTGCTTGATTCATTTCGGAATTTGTTGGAAATATAAAATTGCCTGATAATCTCGAATTCTTGATTTCGGCGTTCGAATTTACTATCCTCTTTCTATATCTGTGATATGAATAGGAATTGAATTATATAAATTATCTTTTATAATTTACGGCAAAATTATTTCTCGTTATATTAAAAGCTATTAATTTAATGTTAAAATATTCCCGTATAAAATTATACGCTGTTGTATTAAATATCAATTTAGTTTAAAATAGAACAAACATCTTTAAAACATGATAAAAGTTGTGTGCAAAATCCTCTCTCCATAAGCTTAATTCTTTTAAAACTATAAAATAAAATGAAAATACGGCAAATATTAAAATTTCAACGATTAATTATTAACAAGGCAGATTTTATATATAATGAAATTTAAATCAGTTTCCAATATCTGTTTTTGGAAAGCATTTTATGCCCGTCACTTCGTGCGTGGCGACCGTTAGAATTTTTATTGAAACTGTACATCATTCATTATCGCGTGCACTTTATCGGAATCGTCCATCGTTCGAGAGTCAATTACTAATTTCATATATATCCGCGATCCGATCGTTCTTCACAATTAATGGATATGAACGGAACTCTGCAATCCCATCTAAAATTCAAATCCGCGTAACCAACTATCCGCCGAGAGATAGTTCCTTTTCTCCTTCTCTCGCCATACCTGCCGCCGTTGCATCAGATTAGATCGCAAATCGAATCGCACCGCATTTCTTCGCGCCACTGATCGCGCGACGACGCCCGTATCAGCTCGACGTTCCTCCGATATTACCCCTCTCGCACCGGGGGTTCGCCGAGGGATGGAGAAGTTCGACCTTGACGAGAATTTTCGCACGGTCGGGATCGCGAATGGAAGGCGAAGTTTTTTTCGAAACTTCCACGAGCAGTTCCATTCGCGCGCCTTCTCATATTCGCGAGTTCGCTTTGATTCAGCTTGACTGTCCTTATTTCCCTCCATCCCCATCCCTTTTTCTCTATGGGTCTCTGTGATTCGCACGGCGGCAGCCCCTATTCCCCCTTTTTTTTTACAACATGTGACGTATTTTAGATGTATCCTCTTTCTCTCTTGTTCTTCACCTCTGAAAGCTGATTTACGTAAGAGAACCTTAAAGTTTCTCCGCTTTTTCTCACCATCTTTCCGATCGGTTTCCCCCAATGCGAGATAAATCGCACTTTCGTGCGTCACGTTTTTCCGCTTACTTACATATTCACAGCTATAATTTCGATCCTGTCTCCTTTCCGCGAGAGAGATCGAATAAGTCCAGACGAAGCTTCTCTCGGTCAGACCGGATTGATCATCACGCTTGGACGCCGGCTTCCTGGCCGGAAGATCTTGTCTTGGATATTGACATATTTACAATATGTGGAGTTTTGTGAATTATTCTAGTTTCGCATGTGTGATTGTTGATACCTTCAACGATAGCGTATCGGAATATTGTGTTACGCGAACATATGAGGCGCATTATTCAGGAAGGAATCAGTCGACAGTGCTTTTATTGTTAATTAATCCGATAGGGATTGTCGGTTGGTTCCTTTCTTTCTGTAAGAAGACCCACATAATTCTTTCATCTAGATTTATCGGAAGAGCCAAAGTCGAATGTCAATTAAATGCTAAAAATGATTTTCTGAATTACAATGAAAAGCACAACAAATTTCATTGTTTCAGAAATATCGTTCAATAATTTAATATCTCCAATTGTCTAAAATTTACAATAATCACTTGATATCTCTTAAACGACAAAAATTTGAAATCTTTTTTCCCGTAATTCAGGGTATTGGTTTATCAGAATAGCATCCAATTAATACTCGACTTTTGCTCTTCGCGAATCGCGTATGTCTCGAAATCACGTTGACATAAATGCTAACGAAAGTTTACCGATTCAATATCGAGACTGACGATTGTATCAGAAATGGTCATTTGAAGGAGGCGAATCCTCGGGTAATGCAGAGGTGTCACGCGTGTTCACGCAATCAGAAATTTTTGGACGCGGTAGTTTGCGCAGTCTATCCGCGTGCGATTTCCATCAGCAGATGCGCTTGGAGATATAGAAAAAGTATGAAAGAGAAAAAGAGAGAGAGAGAGAGAGAGAGAGAGAGGGGGAGGGAGTAAAATAGAGAAAAAAAAGGAAAGAAAGCGGGCGTCGTAATTATCACGCGACAACACCGTTGTAGATCATTAAAAAACAACTCACTCTCATTCACGTCTGGCCTGCTAAAGGTTAATGAGAGCGTTCGCGGGTATGCAGCGGCAAATCGAATATCGGAAAAGTGATCACGCGCTCGGTTCTGCTCATACATACGTACGTACATTCGCGCACACATGGGAACACGGAATATTTTAAGATTACGTTAAAGCTATTCGATCTGGCACGCAGCCATCTTCGGTGGCCACGTCACGCGGCGATTTCGTGTGAGATTTACGAATGTAATTAGCACAGGCACACTTTCTCATCCACTGGCGGGTCCAGAGTTTCTCTTTCTTTCACGCACACATGCGCGCACACACCCACCCACCCACCCACACACACACACACTATCTCTCTTTCTCTCTCTCTTTCTCCGGGATTTCAATGGAAGTTCACTTTTTCAATATTTTTGCTGAATAATTCACGCACCCCTGGCCAAGATTGTACAAAAGAACGAAAATGTTAATTATATAATAAAGTTGTGGTAATCTTTTATTTCGACGGCCAGGCCGTTGATCCGCCGCCGGTCTAGACACGGGCGCACAAGGCGAGAATCGCCTCGCATGCATACAAATTCACCGTTCGAATCCCGTCGGCTTGAAGCGAAGGAGTTTTTCGTCTTCCTCACGTTAGCTGGATGCAATTGTTACGACGTTATAACATGTTGTCTTACGGTGAGACTTGGGTGTGCGCACGACGTCGGTGGCATTTGCATTTAAGTCATATCGTCGCTCGATTTATCGAATTACCTGCGGTGTTTCACGTTGTACGCAATGTAATTACAATGCAGCACATCACGACGATGTTGCTTCTTCGTCGCGCTCGGTATAGCTCATTTAAGACGCCTAACGTTACACGCTAAATCCCGACGTTACTTACCTTGACTTTTAATATTCATCGTCACCGCAGAGATCAAGATTGTATACTCTTGCATACACACCCGCACACATTACACACACGCACGCACGCACGCACGCACGCACGCGCCAACGACTACGTACACAAGCATGTCGTACAAAATGAATCGTGTATAGTGATAAATGCGATAACGTCGCAATCGTCATATTGTCGAGACCAACTAAACAACTAAACAGCCTTTTAAGTACATATTTACATACGAGAGAAGTCGTGTCGATCGAGAGTCCGTCGTCGATAAGGGTGATCTGTTGTGCGCGTATGCCAGGCAGCATGTTTAATCTTCGTTTAATTTGTCAGACTCCGGTGAATTCCGCCCGGGCGAGATGTAACGCACGAGCGGAAAATGCAGATTGCGCGTATCAATGCCTGGCGCCGTGGTCATTGATTTAATCGTCGAAATTAGGCTGAGGGTCTGCCTGCACTCGGTTACCGTGGTCTGCGTGTGCGCATATATCATTATGCGAATATTGTACGCAACTGAATATCATTAAACGATAACCGCTCGATTATTCGTCATTAATTCCGTTATTATGAACCGTCCATTAGGAGCGTGTGATAGCAACGCGCTAAATCACCGTTTTATTTCTTTTCTCCTGTATCGTGTTTCGAGGGCCAAAGGATACGTCACCGAACTCTTGAAATATCTCAATCTTCACGTGCAATGTACAGTGACGGAAGAAATGGTCGCAACACCTTTTTTTTTAATGAATTTAGAAACGCACATTTAGATTCAGGTGTACGTTCCAAAACATTTTCTACGAGAAAAATTTCACTCGAGAAACAGATCGGACACGCTCAAAGTGGTTTCGGAGAAGAAGATTTTGAAACGTAACCCTGATGCGCGTTCCCAAACTCAGTAAAAAAAAAGTGTCGCAACCATTCTGTCCAACACTGTATAATTCCCACCTCTAATTACGATATATTTAACGATTTAACAAAATCGGATATGTGAATACGAGTGATTCTCGTCATGTTTATACTTAACGTCCAGTTTTTAACGAAACGATCTGAACGTAACAAGAGTCTTCAATATCGACAAGAGCAACAAAGATATAATTTGAGGAGACGCGAAAAGTTGAGTGAATGCGAGAAGAAGATCTTTTTGCGTGACCTCGCACATCGAACGCTAACGAATCGTTGCCATACGTCGCGTCTCGCACTCGATAGCGCACACAATGCGCCGACTTTTTATAAATCGTCACGTAAAATCCTCTTCCTCGTTGGTGCATCGTGCTGCATACTAATTCGCGTCATGGCAAACGAACGCAAGTGGCTTTCCGCATTTTTTGTTTTTCTGTTTATACTCTTTTTTTTATTTCGCTGGTCAGATTTTCGAATCAAAAGTATACACATCGTAGCGTAGTTATTGGAAATTTGCACATGCGAAAAATTGGCAAATATACAGTCGACCGAAAGAAGGTCGATCGATTCCGTTGTATGACGATAATTGAAACTAAAAGTACTCCGATGAGTATTTAATATTTTGATATTCGTTGTAAAAATCGATGGGTTGAACATTATTGCGTAGAAATTTTTAGATTACTGCCATTGAACACTGGGAAAATAAAACGACATTTTAATCGCGTCGTATCTTACGGTTAACTGAAATGATCGAAGAGGATAGAAGAGATAAATACGAAGCGGTTTGATTTGCCCAATATTTGACGAGTGAACACGTCGTCTGATCTGGTTTGGCTTTTTGCCACTTTGTTTACGTTAGTCCCTTTCGGAGCTTGATTCTTAGGGCACATTATCACAGAATCGAGATGAACGAAAGTAGAAAAGATAAATGTCGCGTACAACAGTTGGGCGATAAGATTTGTCGAATGGACGAACGGACGCGCGACACTCTTTCCACTTGTTTCCTTCACGCACGACAATCAGTTTCGGTACTCGCGTAATTACGTTGCTCACTCGAGATACGTTCTCTCAAGTATCGAGACTCGACGAATCGTAACGGAGAATTTCCTCTACGAGTCCGGGTACGAGCTTATTCGAGCGTGCACCACTGATACCGGGGTGGAATAACGAAACCGCGGCACGCACCGCTTCTTTTATTTGCGTATCCTGCTATCCGAATGAAAAACGGCAACCGCTCTAAGCGTATCGCGCCTCTCCATGTTAACTGTTACGCGATTATTCGTTTTTTTCCGCCCCACGTTCTCGTTCTTTCTTTCTTTGTTCTTCTATTTCAGTCCGCGTACTCTAGTCTCGGCTCGACGTTCACATCCAGTATTATGCGGGAGTGGAATCTACCGCGCGCAGTCGGCGCACCGATTGTCGCTGAATACTAACACGCGCGTCGCGACTACCGAGCACAATTCAATCCGCTTTTTAATACAACTATTTAAGGTGTAAATTAAAACCGCGCATCGTAGAGCGCCGAAAGACCGGCCGCCGTGAAAATTCACGGAGAATTGCCGTCACGTGATTTTTTCCACTCGCGAAATTGCGTTTCGACCGATAGGCATTTCGCGAGCATCCATGTTTCGCGAATCCGCTTTGGCAGTGGCCGCTCCGTCTCGGGGGGGTGACGCTGGTATAAAAAATCGTTACAAAGTTACCTTACAAACCCTATAAACTGCCGAGCGGACAGGTCTATCTCTAGCTGTGGAAGAGACACGGAATGCGCGGGATAGGTAAAAGTTTAATCCGTAATCGTATATCGCTCGTGCGGTGACCGTTTCGAATTTAAAAAACGACGCGTGCGCTCTTGGATATACAGGGTGTTATGTAATACCCGCGTCACCTTTCGTTTACGGATAGAGCGGATTAGACTGACAATGAGTCGAAAAGTCCTCTAACATTTGGCAATTTCCGCAATAGTTAACGAGTTAGTAATTATTAAAAATTGCTGCCTAATGCCCGATTTCCTCACATCCAGTTATGTTGCGGTTAAAGTTAAACAGGAGATAAATTACCAGATCCATGCACGTGCTTGGCTAAAACTTGAGATTAACCTCCGGATAATTTTATCGGGAAGTGAAAAAATCGGCCATTAGCCCGACGAGATGCCCGCGCGCCTAGCAACGCCGATCACGGCCGGGCTAAGACAGCGACTTTTAATAATTAATAACTCGTTAACGGTTGCGTAAATTGCAAAATGGCAGAGGACATTTCGACTCAGTCTAGTCTGCTGTATCTGTAAATAAGAGGTGCGGGCGGGTATTACATAACACCCTGTGTTATGCGACGCGAGATACCGACGCGCTCGTAAATACAGCTTCTGTCTAGATCGTAGAAAACACGGTACAATGGCATTTTCAAAAGTGACATTTTTTCCCTCTGGAGGAAATCTCGTCGAATTACTTTCGTCGCGATAAAGGAGCTTTTGTGAGCGATCCAGAAATGGACTTGCGATATGAGGGAGCGGGACGAGGGTCCTCTTATCTCTCTCTGGACAGACGTCCTTTCGTTCCCGACCCGACATACCCGACATACCCGACTCGGTACCGTTTTCGGCCAATGTTCCGTTCGGGAAACGCGCTACGACGTCGTTCGCCGACTGAGTTTGCTACGTCGACTTTGTAACGCGACTCTAATTCGCGACGGTAACGACCTCGCTGCTGCGCTTGTAACCGGAGTCGGAAATTATACCGACGTTTAGTTTTGTGCCTTAATGAGTGGCGCGCTCTTCGGAGAGGTGGTTGTCGGACGATGTACTTCGCGGATCGTAAGTATCTAACATAACTGGCGATGTAAATTGACTCGAGTGGCAGATTAAGTCTCAAGATTCCGCTCTTCTGCGTCTATTCACTTGACGGCGCGTTTATTATTACGTTTACGATGTAAGATGCCAACAACACACGGGAAAATACGCGTATTAACCTTTCTTCGATTCGCGTATTTTTGTTCTCGCGCATATTAAAAAAAAGAAGCTAATTGACCATTTACCCCTTTGGTTCGTGCCGATGAAATTATAGTAGACAAATTCTTTCTCGTCTCTGTCAAAGAATTTGATAGAATGACTGAAAATTACCCTTTCTTTGATTCGAAAAGCAGATGTTCGAACAAAATCTGTTTGCTTTTTCGTTCGAGTTTTATGCAATCGTTTGCACGGCATTCTTTGAAGATAACGTTTGACGTTGATCATATTTTTCTGATTGTCTCGTCCATTCGAATAGAAACACGATTACGTATGAACAATTCGTATAAAGGCAGTCGGCGAAGTAACAATCAGAAATGAAACAATAACATTTACCCCGTTGACGTAATATGAGAAAAAGTGCCGCTCATTTTTAATTAAAGCCGGCTGCACGTACGCGGAGCTGCGGACGTCCCGGAAAAGCGAAACGAGAGGAAAAACGAGCACGTCCGACCGAGCGCGAGCATATAGAGAGTCTCGTTTGCCGGTCACGAACGGCATTCTCATGTCGGATGCTATTATAGTAAAGAATAAAAGTGGATGGAAATACCAAGAAACGACGATAGGCACGCGTTGCATGCACCTCGGAACCTTCGGTATTGCGCAGCGCTATGTTCACTCCCGAGGCTTTCTATTTCCCTCCCCCCCCCGTCCACGATTGAAAATGTGTATCGAGGAATACTGCTCGACGCAGGTACAGCCGGCTAGCGATCTTGAATTATTACAATGTCTCGAAATCACGTTCGTACATAAATCAGCCGGATCCTTCGCGAAAGAAAACTCGCGGAAAGCCCCCTGCGCGATGCTTAACCCTTTTTACTAAAAGCCACGCCACGGTGTGGCTTTTATCGTACGTTCGCTATGCACGAAGAGTCTATAAATTTTTAACCCAAGTTTCTTTTATCGCCGATTTATGGCCATTTGTACAAAGAATGGTTAATTGCGCGATACAATGAAATTAAACGCGCTCGAGTTAAAGACGTGGAAAAGCAGAGTCCGCGTATCTCGAGATACGTTAGCGTACACGCAGGATGACGTCTTTCCGTCGTATGAAACGTCGAATTAGTGCCCTCGATCGATGTTCTCCGGCGCGTTAACCCAGTGCTCGTACACGCGCGAGAGCGTACAGAGTACGAAGCCGAGCGTACATCGCGTCCGCTTGGAGAACCTCGCCGCCGACATTATGCGACGTACCTCGCCTTTAACTTGATAAATGAAGGCGGATCGGCGAGTGTCGTCTACCTCTCTTCTCCGACTCGTACGTCCCACCCTCGCACTCTTTTTTCTCCCGCCGCAGTCCGGTAACCGCCTGATTTTCCGGCCAGCGGGAAGAATGGAGAGGCGACCGGCCGCGGATAGGAGACAACGGAGGAAGGGTCCACTAAACGTCCACCTCCGGCCGAGGGTCGCTATCTTTTTACGCGGCAAGTAAGGGGCTGGAGACAGGAGACTTGATTATCCGGTCGACGGCGACGACAAGAGGCGTTCTTACGCGTGGTCGAGCCATTGTATTACTCGGTCGTTGAAAACTTTTTTAATCACGTTCTTCCGCTGCGGATGCCGGATATTGTTCGTCTTGCGCGCTCACGCGCACGCACACGCGTTCTCGGGGGCCCGAAGCCCGTTTGCCCGCATTTTTTATCCATTCATTATTCATATTTTCTGCTACCATTTACTCCCGTTCGCGCTCGCGACAGCTCCAACTTTTATTAATAGTTACGAACCCGAACGTCGTCGACGTGGTAGCGAAACGCGGTCGTACTGAATTATGCGCCGTCCCGAACAAGAAGTCGTTTACCAGTTCCTAAATGTATTTTAAATCGGTCCAAGACCATAATAGCTATTCGCGCGCATCCCGATCGGTCGTAGTCGGTAGACGAGAAATATCTAAATGTCGCATCGTCTGATTTCCGTTCAAGAGATTGATCGAACCGAAGAATTATAGAAAATTCGAGGCTGCCTTTCAATAAGATTCGTCGTTAAACGAGGGTACTTTAACAAGCGTGTGTAAATAAATTCATCAAGTTGACTTTTGCAGCATTTTTCGAGCCTTTCACAGAGCAGCTTCGAATACATGCGCTCGAGTGGGAAAAATTATGCGAATTTCACCGCGGTATTTAACGGCGATTCAAGGACGAGAGGTTGAAAGAAAGTTAACGAGAGACGAGTCCTTCCGTAATGACCTTTACGTGTTCCGGCGAGAGGCAGGCGAAATGTAAGAGAGACGTGCAATGTAAGAAACAAATGGGACAGCAATAGCGCGGGTGAGAATTATGAGTCACGCTGAGGGCGTCGCGCAGAAATTCAATATTGTACTCGAAGCTCCCCGTGCCACTCGTAAAGACAAATAGACGGCTGTTTGGAAAAAAAGAAAATTGCGAGAGCTAATTGAATCGGACGCATCTCGCATCTTTCGCGCGCGCGCTTGATCGATTAGGACGATGCGTTCTCCCGTTGCTACCCTCACCGCGTACGCCATTCTTGCGCTCGCGTGCACGCTATATACGAGTACGGATTGCACGCATGACCGACTTTTCTTCATTATCCTCCGCCTTCTACGGAAATGCTCTCTCGAGAAGTAGGAGAATAAATTCACTTGATATCTCGCGATTCTTTTTATTCTTTTTTTATCAACACGGACGGGCCCGTACTTATGGGATTGCGTAAACAATGCAAATACATACATGGAGAAGGAAAGATTCTGCATATTTGAATTAATTAAGAGGATTTCATTTTAATCCCGTGCTGTAAAATATTTTCATCCGACGCGCTCCGCGCATACTGTTTTATTTCTATTAATTCCGGCGGAAAGAAATGCATTTGCGAAAATGAATTTGCTTTATGACACGATCGAAATCTTGTGAGCGGATGACGAATTTCACTTGCACGTTGCTCGAAAACTATCGCCGCCGATTGTTGCTCTATCGATATTAATATTTCTCGAAAGATCTGGCTGTTTATCGCGCGAATGTTTCTTCCTGAAAAAAGAATTTTTGAAACGCGTCAAATAACGCGATTGAATTTAATGCAAATATCATTGTACACGGCGAATGCCGCTTTGTCTGCGCATCTTTTGAGGTAACAGAAGCGTAATTACCGTGGAATCTCATAACGCGCAATTTCTATTTCGCGTAAGCTAATTGCGCCGCTTTAGCTCCGAACGACGTTCCCCCGATTGTGAAGTTGCGCGATCGCGTTTAGTCGAGATAAATCCAAGAAAATCCGCCATCGCGATCGATAATCGCGTGCGGTACAGGCTTTTATCGCCCGCTAATTGATTTCGAGATGCCGCGCGGAAGGAAAGAAAAGCGATAAGAAAAGAGCCGAGATGAGCGATCCGATTACGCGGTAATCGCCTCCGCAATACCTTCCGATCTCGGCGTAGAAATTCGAGATTTCGCTCCTCGCCAATGGCCGGAAATGCGGCGTCAATATTGGAACACGAGACTGGAGGATCGACAAAAGGTTCCTTGTGCACGCCGCCCGGGAAGAATCGGTGTATCGCGGTGCACACAGAGATGTACACCGGTGTGGTGACCGATGGTCACACAGGCGTGGATTCCGAAGTGTATACACGGTCAAAGCCGCGGTTGCATGGCAACGATTCGTTCTGTCGTCCTCGATGCACTCGCCGTCAGCCTTGCCAGCTGAAAGTCCACGAGTCGGCAGACGCTTTGACTCTATTCGAATTAATCGCGGAGAGAAAGACGAGCACTGGCGACGTTCACCCTCTCCTCCGCTGTTCGCCTCAACTCAACCGCTCCTCGCCTCTCAACACGCTACACGTTCGCCCTTTCCACCTCTCGCTGCCTTGTCTTGTGTACAAGATGTCCCAGAAGACTCACGTTTTCCTCTCAAGCCGGAAGTATTTGCAGTCGTACCGAAAAGAGGGTCGATTGTTTCGAGGGTCTCTTTCTCTAAGTTGCGAATGATCGGAATTCGAGCATCTCGGGCGAAATATAAATGAGTTAAAGCGAATGAGTTACGTTCCGATGCTTCCAAGAGTTCGAGGAGAACTTTCAATTAAGAACCGATCGTCGGAACGTTTAAATAAAGCTCATGAAACGATGCGAAGACACGTGATTTCGGCGACATCTTGAATATCGTCATTTCAATCGCGCTTTGTTCAGTCTCATCAACACGCGGAGTTACGCCTCGCCCTACAATCGCGCACTCGCTCGTGTGTCCTCGATCGACAGCGTCAAGTTTGCGACTTTATTCACGAACGAACGATGCCGTTGACGAAACCGATCGTTGATCGACGGTTATTACGTTACGAAATTTCGTCGTGTGTTCCTTTTATGTCTGTTATATCGTATATCCGCAGTACCGAATCGCGAATCGCGCGCGCGGTCACACCGCTAAAAGCACCGTCCTGCGGCCGTCGCGCTGACCTTCCTGACACGTCCTCGTCGCTCGGTTGCATCGACAAACGGCGCGTCGTTGCGAAAGAGTTCATCGTTCCGGTGCACAGTCAAAAGCGTCCCCGTCGGATGCACATCGTCGCACGTATCTCGCCGCAGCTTCCATGACACCTGAGCAATGTTCGCGCAACTCGCGACGGAAATACCTCTCTCTTTCTCTCTGGGTTCTTCTCTCTCTCTCTCTCTCTTTCTTACACACTCTCATTCATTCATTCATTCATTTTCTCTCTCTCTCTTTTTCTTCGCTCGAAAGTGCCTTCCGATTTCTCCCTTCGAGAATGCGCGATGGAATGGAGCAATTAGTAAAGTAGCAGACACAGGCAGAGCAGAAGGGAGTACAGCCTTGGTTGCTTGGCCTGACCGCCGTGCTGCATTGCCGCGGGATACTCTCCTGAAACAGAGGGCAACACTTAAATTTTCTGAAGACCCGCGGCATTCTCGCTCCCGCCCCGTTTCCCCCTCCTTCTCATTGCTCTTTTTGTTGCCCGGTCCAAATGGAATGCAATTTAGCTAATTATTTCCCGTAATTGGCGCGGTTTCTCCTTGACGAGATGCATTCTCAAAAAGGGAATTTGCCAATTTCAGACGAGTCGCCGGAAACACAACCTTAGAGCTATCGGATATTAATCGTATATTAAAGATAAGTCACGAAAAATCGTGCTTACGTCAATAATCGGCGATAGTTGCGGGAGTTATTCAATGTGAAAAATGAAAAATTGATCAAATGCAAGATTTAGGGGACAAAAGATTTCTTAGTGAAACTCTGGTATCCTGTATAAAATTTGCACAAGATTCGTTGACGCTTCCGATATTATTGAGTATTCCGCCGTATTTTGTATGTTGTCGCACGATCGTTGTTAATCACGGGCTGGCAAGAAGCCGGCGCGCATCGTCCCCGTATCATCGATTACTCACCGTTGAGTACGTGCACGGTGATCGATTTCGGTTGAGCATTACTGGGGTTACAAGTGTACCGTCCCGAGTCCGACGGTTTCGCTTCTTGCACCAGGAGGAAACTCGTCGTGCTGTCACCCTTTTCCGTGACCACGGAGACGCCGCCTCTGCTCGAGTCGTAGCTGATTATCTGGAACAGAGATCGGGCGATCGTCCTGAGACAAGGTGACGTTTCGCCGCTCGGGCGAGGAGTCGCGGTGAGGATGGAAGCGAATGAGAAACCAGCTAGCCAGTGCCGGATACAGTTTTTATTGGGCAGTCCCGGTGGGTATTGGCTATGAGGACGACAGGCGCAGAGATAAGTCCGCCGTAGGACTCCCTTTCGGGTCGCGGACGAGGGTGAAAAAAATACGAGGCTTCCCTCCCTTAACGAGAATTCTTAGCGCGTTCTACTACAAGATCGACGATCGGGAAGAGGTTGTAAAGTACGGTATCCCGGGACATCCGGTGATACGAGCAAGGCTCGCCCCGACGCTCGGTGCAAATTGCTTCGCCGGCGACTTATGCCCCGAGGATATTTTCCAAGATAAATATTATTCCGGGTACGAATAATTTTCCGTGGCGGAGACCTTTATTTGTTGTTTAGCTTTCTATCATTTTTAATTATCCCCTCGAGTTATTGGCAAATGCGTCAATTTTCTTGAAATATAAGCATATATTTTTATCTTCCCGTGCATAGGAGATTGAGGAAAATGAAAAAAAACTAATCTCCGCAATACCTCGCTGCCAAAGTAAAACGAGACACATTTCCTTTATTATAAAAGATAAACTTCATATTTTAACGTATATTTTTAGTGAATATAAAAATATATAGTAAAATTTGTTTTATGTAATATTTCGCTGTTTAAAAGATTAATCTTTCCTGCACGCCAAAAAATATTTGGGATAAAATATTTCACAATAGTTATTTAAGCCCGTGCATTTATACTGGAAAATTGGATGCGATGTCCAAATGCTAGTAGTATACTCGTCTCAAGATCCCGACGAACGTCGTGTTTATCCTACGTCTGTTCCACTTGACAACGCTCACGAGTGTCGCTTTAACGCAAGGTTGGCAGAATCTAACATTCGGTACACGCGAATGAAAGGAATAAAGAGCGGAGAACGTCGCGAAAGTCGAAAAGGATTTTTAAATAAATAATCCGCAGCCGGAACCTTGCGACAGTGTGCCTCCGTCTGAGAGGCACGTAAGCCTTCTTAAGGGATTGAGAATCGTAGAGCATCCTTGACAACATGTTGTTGGATATTTGCTTCTTGGCTATGTTTCGGTGTTAAAAAATTCGGACGTCATGTTCTCTCGGGATTATCTTGATGAAAGAAAAAAAAAAGATCGAACGAACGATCAATAATTATTAACAATAGTGAGTTAAGATAAGAGCCTTTGTCAAATTTCCTCACTTTCATACGATATTTAAATGTGTTTTCACCTAGATGGAAATGAGCAAGAACCACACCAGTTTGTTTTTTTCAACGTTTAATATCGATTAATTTAATAAACATCAGACGTTTCGGTTACTAAAGACAACCCTTTTCAACGACAGTTTTCTAAATTACATGAAAAGAGAATTTATAACCGCAAATTTATCAAAATAATTAGAAATAAAAACGCAACGCTGGTTGTAATATCGGCTACCGAGATTTTTTACTATTGAGGTGTTAGCAGAGTTGTGAAAAAACATACTGCCCTCCGGTGTCAGTGTTGTACACGTGCCAGCAATGATTACGTCGCAAATAATTGAGGGTTGCATCTAAGAGTAGACGGTATAGTAGTCAGGTTGTAATAATAATTGCAGATTATTGCGCTCAACATCAAGCGCTCGTGCTGAAGCAATAGACACCCATTAACATAACTGTGACTAATTATTAAATTCAATTTTTATTTTCACCGCAGTTTTTTCATTCAAAATTCAGAAATTTTGCTACAGCACGATATTTTCTTTATAATAGAATAAATAAAAGACTTAAAAACTGTTATAAATAACAGAATTAAAATAAATAATTATAGTACTTTAGTGCATGTATTAATTAATGTAGAATAAAAGAGTTATTTATTAAAGAGAGTCTCGTTACAGTTGTTTACTTGGACGCACAGGTTTCTAATATTATATTGCACGCTGAGATATCTTTTATTCGTAAACGGGCAGAATGTAAATGGTTGCACGCAAAGCGTAACCGCTTCGTTCTGAGAACGAAACGCTTTTTTTCCCCCAAGTTTCTTTCATTAAGTCTGCAAATATAAGCTGTACTCGAGAAAATTTAATCTTTCCGGATTGCTGAATTCGCTGAGCGGTATCGAATTCCGGGGGATAAGAATATATGTCGGTCGCCAAGCTGTTTATCCCTGTCGCCCCATGGTCTCAAAGCGTCCGATTAATCGAACGAAAGTTAGCCGCCGCGAGTCTGATAAGCGCCGCGCTGCTTCCTTCCGTTCCGTTATCTAAACCGCGCGTTGCGGTCTAACGCAGAATAATATGCGAAACTTTCGTTCGAAAGTCCATAGTTAATCCGGCCATATACGAGACGCAATAATGCCGGCGCACCCAAACACGTGCATCCACGCTCTTCTGCCGCTCCTGAGAGCTGAACTTTCCTTATCCTATACGAAACGGGGCTCGACGTGGGGTTTTTACAACCCGCTGGTAACTCGCAAATTAATGTTTCGAACGGCGTTCGTCCTCCTCCTGCCCGTGCACAAGCACAAAATTAAACAACGCCGACAAAGTTGCATTTCTGAAACTTACGTAACACAAACGTAAACTTACGTTTCAGAAATTCGTTAAACTTTTACGATGCACCCGATGTAGCAAGTTTGTGCATTCTTATAACATGAACGATAAATCGAGCATGATCGCTCTAAATATTTTCCGATATATGAACATATGCATTGAAAGTTTAATGTGTCTGCGTTGCCATTTTCTACGTTACTCACGTCCGCGATACGCGCGAATTATTATTGTAAACGACGTTCTTGTAATTACTCGGGCGAGCGATGTTTCGAATTAAATTGATTTTTATTTAATTCTACTCGATCATCAGGATGGATAAATAATATCCAATTTTCAGTTCATTAATCGTATAAAGTGCTGACTCTGCATTGACGATTGAATTAAAACAGCGACCAATTACTCACCGATTAACTCTCGTGACTGTAAATCGATTTGGAATAAATGAACGTTACATTTAAATTGAATATTTTTTGTTCTGTCAGTCACAAAACGTTTATTATAATATTCTTCTCTTTTTGTCCCTGACAATTATATTTTGTGTGATTTTAAATTATTATATTAATGGATTATAATGTGTTAACACATATTTTTAATTATTCAAAATTCATAAAACTACATCAAACAAGATTAATACGATAACATTACAATCGTAACTCTCTAATATTTTTATCAATATTGAATCAAACGCAAGAAAAATGTAATGCACACTTATTTATTTATTTAAGGGATTTATTAAAGAATCCCGACATGTAAAAGATTAATTTATATTGCCAGGAATTCTGACAAACACTCAAAATTGTTAACTGGCTCTGGGGCTTAAGCCAATCTACAAATTCGTTATCGCACTTTATTTAATACTATCAGCAGTAAAAGAGCGCAGCTTAACGGGTCAAATAATTTCAATGTACCTACACGTTAAAACCTGTAATTCTTTCGAATTTTAAAGACGCATGCGGGAATTTGTACGATAGGATAGGCATATAAAGGCACGTGGAGATGAGGGTGGTTTCGTCAACCTCATTAGACTCTTTTACTGGAAATCCGGTGTTCCATGGAATTACCGGTCGGTTCCAACGGAACATCTTGGGCTCAATGGTCCGCGTTGGTATAATTTTCCTCCCTTCCTTCTTTACGGTTTAGTACGGTTTATCTTATCAGTCTTCGCTCGCGCATTCTGATAACGGCACCCTCTCCATTCTGCACTCCGCTATCACGCCATATTTTCATCCTTCCACCCTGACGTTCGTTCGTATACTCTTCCTCCTTTTCTCCCATCATTTATCAAATTTGGTCGTTTTTAATAGTCTATTTTCGCTGCCGTTAGTTCTTATCGCTTGTATACCACGTGGTAGAAAATTGCAAAGGACAAAATCAATTGCTTTGTCGAGTAACGCAGATTATTGTCGCGTGATTGCTGAAAACGTATTGAAATTATTAACAAAGCGGTTGAATGCACTAGTCATATTACACTCGTAGCCGCATATTGCGCAACGTATGAGTTTTTAATGAATTTGCACGAAATATTAATTTGCTAATACATTAATAAATCGATTGACATCGTAGGCAGATTATATAAATTTAAATATATATTTCTGCATATAAAATACGAATGGATTAAGCAAAATTACAATACGGCGATGTCGTTTGCAGATATTGCACGAGTGTACGAAACGAAACGACGCCAGCTCGCATATTACTGTAACTGCCGTTTTTACACTGCTTTAAAAAGATACGATCGTTTTTCGAATTTTTTACTGATTTATCCAACTAGATTGAATGTGCTTTGCATAATTCCTTTTTAGTTATAGCTGCGCTTTACTTGGTGTTACATAATACATCATAACCAGTTTTGTCTCTCTGATTATTTTGAATTGTCTCTCGACAATCAGATAAGAATTAAATCTGATAATTTACAGTAATTAAGTTTTGTAAGTTAAATTATGATTCATTCAACATTTATCCTTCATCGATATTTCACTTGGCGACATCCGTCGTTTCTTATTTACTTCCTCGTCGTTCCTTACGTCACCATTTACCATTTCGTTTGCTTAGATAAATTCAACCTTCAATCCGGAGCCCTCTCGGGCGAATTTTCTTCACACCGCCCAGCCGCGCCTCTCGTACGCCGAAGAATAAAGTTGCCAGTTGTTACGTGGAAATCGGCTGTTATTTCAGGATTTCGTTGTTTCTCGAGGTGGCGAGCATCCAGCTGCACGTCGGGCGCGGCAAATGTGAAATGTTTCCGAAAAGCGATGCGACCGACACACCATATTCTACAGTATGGTATCGTAATGCCGTTGCTGTATCCCTGGGATCCTGACGTGTTTACCGTGGGATATATTCAATACCGCGCCCGAAGTGACGCGAGTTTCACTGCCGACCGACCAAACGTCCCGTTTAATCA